ATTTTCTTCGTGCTCCCTGTGTGAAAACTGAAAAGCCAAAAGCTTAGAGCAGCTCCTGGTACCAAGGAAAGGACTGACTGACTTTGTTTGTGCTGCTGTAACAGAATACCCCAGACTAGGCCATTTCTAAATAATAGAAATATATTTCTCAGAGTTCTGGAGGCTGGGAGCCCAAGACCCAGGCCCCAGTAAGTCTGGTATCTGGTGAGAGCCTGGTCTCTGCCTCCAAGTCGGCCCCTGTTGCTGTGTCCTCACCTGGCGGAGGACACGGAGGACACAGAGGACTGAGCTGGTTCCCTGTAGCCCTTTATAAGGCTCTAATGTCCCGTGCAGGCCCACAGGACCCGATCGCTTCCCGGAAGGCCCTGCCTCCCAACGCCACGGTAGAGATTTGAAGGGGACCAAACCGTAGCAGGGACCATCAGGAACACGGAGTGTCTGAGACAACGCAGACCGGAAATATGGAATTTTTAGCTGCTGATTTTTCTTGCTTGTGCTGTCAGACCTTCTCTCCAGGAGCCACGCTCAGGGTGGTCAGAGGTGGTGAGTGAGGTGGCGGAGGCGAGTGCTGGGCAGGGGGCATGCTGCTGGGTGCTCACTCCACACGTCCGGAGGGGCACCAGCCGCCCCATGCCCCTTGGGGTGAGGAGCCAGTGCCATCAGCAGCTGCACGGTTGGGGTAGAGAGTCCCCCTCCTGCCTCTGTGTGGAGGGCTGGGAGACAGGGAGGATCTTTGGTCTCTGGCTTGCTGGCTTTTTTTTTGAGACGGAGTTTCGCTCTTGTTGCCCAGGCTGGAGTGCAATGGTGCGAGATCGGCTCACCGCAACCTCCGCCTCCTGGGTTCAACGATTCTTCTGCCTCAGCCTCCCAAGTAGGTGGGATTATAGGTATGCGCCACCATGCCCCACTAGTTTTTTTTTTTTGTATTTTTAGTAGAGACGGGGTTTCACCATGTTGACCAGGATGGTCTCGATCTCTTGACCTCGTGATCCACCCGCCTCGGCCTCCCAAAGTGCTGGGATTACAGGCTTGAGCTACCGCGCCTGGCCTGCCCCGCTAGTTTTATATTTTTTGTAGAGATAGGGTTTCTCCATGTTGGTCAGGCTGTTGAACTCCTGATCTCAGGTGATCTGCCAGCCTCTGCCTCCCAAAGTGCTGGGATTACAGTCGTGAGGCACCGCGCCCGGCCGGCTTCCTGAAATATTAAGGCTCATTTCTCACTCATATACATACCCTTCATTCACAGTCCGAGCAGGTTGTCTGAGCAAGCCTCCCCTCAGCTGGATTTTGCATGTGCTGTCGGCCAGCTCCCCAGTCTAGAATGTTCTGTCCGTGCTTTCCTCAGAAGAAACTTGCAGGGATGGGAGGGCGCTCACCAGAGGCAGCAAGGGGTCTAGGTGTCAGTGCTTCTCACACTGGCCTTGCCTGATCTGTGCATGGAGCTTACTGTGGCCATCTCTGTCCCCGCCCATGCCCTGTGGGCTCTGTGGCTCGGCCGGGCTGGCCTCTTCCTCCTTTGGCAGGAGGGAGATTCTTTGCTCTGCCCGGCTGCCTGTTTGCACACGTGCTATGCTGTACTCCAGGCACCACCAGGCCCTTGGGGAGCCCTCCCCACCCCTGGCTGCTGCCTGGCCCTGCTGCAGAGTGACCCAGTGGCCAGGGCCGCCTTGGCTGTGAGGGGACCATATGAGCCCCTCCCACACGGTGGATGGAGCTTGAGCTTTCACAAGAGAGAAAACCAGTGTTTGAGTTTGACAAAAACCAGAGGCCTTGGCAAGGAGTAGGTACGGATGTGGCTGAGATGGGGCCCTGGGCGTTTGCTGAGCGACTGCAGGTTGGCTTGTAGGAGGCTTCCCTGACCTTTCAGGGTTTTACTGGCTTCCAGTGGCTGAGTTAATCCACGTCAGGTGCCAGAGACTCTCCGGCTGTCAGCCAGGGCCGGTGCACCCCTAGACTGATGGAAGGGTCTCGCACACAGTTTGAAAGGCCTCTGTACTCTGGAGCCTGGTTTAGAATTTGAAGGTGTGATCTTTGTGTTTTGAACAAGAGTTTTGTGTTTCAATGCTCAGGTGGAGGTGACCTTCCAACTGCAGTGATGATAGCAGAAGCTGGGACTGAGCCCGGGGCCTGGTGCCCAGGGGCGGGGTGGAGGCGGACGGGCGGCACAGTCCAGGCCAGCACCAGCCCAGGAGCCTCGGTTTCCACCGTCTCTACAGCGCGCGGCCCCTTCGGCCCTGTGCGGCCTTTGCTGGTGGTGTTGGGTGTTTGGCTCTGCAGCTGCCGTGTCTGTGGGCAGCAGTGGTTTCTCTCCACTGACCGTGTCATCAGAGGCTTTCAGAGCCCACTCATTTCAGGCTCTAGCCTCACAGTTGTGCCCGTGAGGGCGAGTCACGCGCCCGAGGCCTCGTCGTGGCCCTTGCGCCATCTGTTGGGTCAGAGCCGTCAGTCCTGAGGGTCAACTCTGAATCAAAACAGTGCTGTGGTTCGAAGTGGAAGGAAACTGGCCCCTGAAGGTGTGTAACTTCCCCGCCACCTCCAGTGCATTCGTGGTTTGGCCTGGCGGTGCCGTGGACAACAGGCCATCCTGTGTGGGCAGCCCGGCAGCAGCCAGGCTGCAAAATCATGGCTGAGACCCGGCCTCCATATGATCCAGCAGGAGCCTGGAGGCCAGCCACATCCTCAGGGTGGGCCTGGGGCTTGCACATACAAGTGATGCTGATGGGAAAATTCACTTTGATTTGAATGAAAAAGAAATTATGCATCCTTATTTTGTGACCAAAACATGTGGCCAATTATATCTTTAAAGATTTGAGTGAAGTGGGGCATGGTGGCTCATGGTTATAATATCAGCACTCTGGGAGACTGAGGTGGGAGGATTGTTTGAGCCCAGGAGTTGGAGACCAGCCTGGGCAACAAAGCAAGACCCCATTGCTGCAAAAAATATGAAGGTTAGACGGGCACGATGCTGTGTGCCTGTGGTCTCAGCCCCTCGGGAGGCTGAGGTAGGAGAATCGCTTGAGCTGGGAGCTGGAGACAGCAGTGAGCTGTGATGGCACCACCGCACTCCAGCTGGGTGCAGTGCGACCCTGTCTCAAAAAGAAAAAAAAGTTATTCTTTAGAATTTTACTTCTCAGTGATTCACTTTTTATAGGAGAACCACAGAGACAGAAAATATGTCATTTTGTCTTTTAGAGCCCAATAATGTCCTTAGAAAAAAGGAGCTCTGTCCCCAAGGCCCATGTGCCTTTATAAAAAACAGTTGCTGGGAAGTGTTTTATTTTTTTTGAGACAGAGTTTCACTCTTGTTGCCCAGGCTGGAGTGCAATGGCATGATTTCGGCTCACCACAACCTCTGCCTCCCGGGTTCAAGCTATTCTCCTGCCTCAGCCTCCCGAGTAGCTGGGATTACAGGTATGCTCCACCATGCCCAGCTAATTTTTTATATTTTTAGTAGAGACGGGGTCTCTCCATGTTGGTCAGGCTGGTTTTGAACTCCCAGCCTCAGATGATCTGCCTGCCTTGGCCTCCTAAAGTGTTGGGATTACAGGCGTGAGCCACGGCGCCCAGCAGGGAAGTGTTTTCGGTTCCTGTCTGTGGAGCGTTTTCTTGCTCTGGATGAAGGTGGTCTGGGGAGTTTCTTGGGTCCTGTGGAGTTGGCGAGCTTGTTCTCTAGGTTATAATTTTAAGTGGCCGGGGTTGTGTCAGTGTGGCCTGTGCCTTGTCGTTGGCATCATGGTGCCCTGTGCCCTGCAGGCGTGGCCAGTGGCACCCACGTGCCCTCACAAGCCTGAGCCACGAGGTGAGGTGTCTGAGGCCAGCGTGGGTATGGTCCAGGAGGGTAGCCTTGACCCTGAGGGGGCCTGGAGGCGTCCCAGGAGTGGGGCTCAGTAGGAAGGCTGCTCACAGTGGAGGTGCACGTGTGGCATGGATGGTGCTAGGCACCACAGGTGGGGGCCTTGAGGCAAGGACTAGGAGGTGGCAGGGGTAGGGCCCAGGCGTGCTGAGGGGCTGCTGCCCTGGCCATGGCCTTGGACTCATGCCCCAACTGGACCCACCTGCTGGGTCTCAGGACCCTGGAGACGCCTGGGTGGGTGGAGACTCTGCCAGCAGCTCAGAGCACTCCAGTTGGTGGGTGCATCCTGGGGGAGCCCCTATCCCTAATAGGCCTTGGGAAGGGGGCTGCTGAGATTTGGCCAGGGGCAGAGTGAGAAGGGGGTGGTGGCAGCACCTCCAGAGAGCAGAGGGAGTGCCAGGGCCTGACACTCAGGGCCCTGCTGTGGGCAGGCCTGGGCATGGCATGGGGGGCTGGAAGCTTCCTACCTGGGATGAGGGTGGGCTTTGCCCAGGGAGCTCCTGTGTGTGCACCTGTCGCATGTATTTTGAGATGAGAAAGATTTGCATGCATTTCTATTTGCGTAACTATCAGGGGAGTAGGTGCGAGGATGGAGAAGGTGGGAGGTACGCCTGGCGGGCCCCTGAGGATGTGGACGAGGTGGGGCTCCAGGGGCCTGATGGGCACAGGTCAGGGAGAGATGGAGCCACTGCAGGGCCTCAGAGGCGGCTGTGAGGTGTCTTCTGAGAGCCCCCTGGGTGGGCTGTTGTCGGAAGTGGAGGCACTAGGTACCCTCCTCGGCCAGCCCACTGTGGCTGGGACAAGGCTGTGACCTGTGAGCCCCGGGTGTCTGGGGGGCTTGCTCAGGTGTTAGGTGCCCACCAGCCTGGTCTGTCGGGGCTGGGCAGGGCCAGGCTGTGTGTCTCTGGTACCAGCTGGGAGGGGGCCGAGGAAAGCTGAGGGGCCAGCTGGTTGGGCCGGGGTGGGCGTGGGCAGGATCTGAAGAAGGGGCCCCAAGGGCTGTGGCCAGTCTAGAGAGGACGACTGCTTTGTGTGGTCTTGGGGGTGGCCAGACCCCTAGCACATGGAGCCCTCGACGGGTTGGTGGGATGCTGCCTCCCAGGTGACCTGCTGGGAATGCTTTAAGCCTGTATCTTTTCTATTGCAGACTTTAAAAAATTCAAAAAGCCTTTGCTCCCTCAATTACGAAGATGACGACGAGGATGACTCCCCAGTGAAGACGGTTCTGACCGCTCCATGTGACTCGCGGGGCCTCCCAGCCATTGCCATGTCTGGCTGCAGCCAGAGGGGCTGCAGGACCAGCACCGGCCGGTGGGCCTCGAGGGAGTCTGTGGCCGGTGATGGCTCCAGCAGGAACAACGGGGACCCCAGTGATGGGGACAGCGCCGGGGAGGAGGGTGTCTTCCCCCGGGCCCGAGAGGAGCTGGACCTGGAGCAGATCGAGAAGAACTGAGGCTGGGGGGAGCTGTTTGGGGCAGCAGGTGCCGCCCCCACCTGCCCTGGTGCACAGAGTAGGCCTCACGCTACTTTGAACACTGAGGCATGATTTTCATTCCGCTTTTCCTAAAGAAGTATTTTGCATTTTTATGGCTTTTGCAGTTCGGGAGAGAGCTTCTCTATTTTGGATGCATTTCAGAAGGGCGTTCTATTTAACATGAATCTGCAAATAGATTAGCACGGGTCTGTGTTCCTCATGAAAAGCCTGCCATGCAGGGCGCCTTGCGTGCTTTAGTTGCTGGGAAAGCCCAAGCCTGGTGGTGAGGGCCCCGCTGGCCCTGTGTGTCCCTCCCTCCAGAGGATCACGACGCTTGGGGCTTGTGCCAGGGCATCTGTGCCCGTGAATCTTGTCACCCACACACCAGTGAACTGCCAGCTGTGGCTGCCTGGCTTTCCACTGGTAGCGGTGAGACCATTTGGGGCAGGCCGAGCTGCCATGAGTCCATGGTTCCTGTGGCCTGGGAAGGCCTGGGCGCCTTTGGGTGGGGTGTGGCGCCAGGCCTTTGGGAAGGCCGTCCTGCTGGCAGCACCTGGCAGCACCCACTCTGTGAATTTAATAAAAGGCGCTTGCTTTGCACTATGACTCTGATGAATTTTCATTTTCACCAGTTGAAGTGGACCTGGCTTCACCTCAGGCCTCTGGTCTGGCTCAGCACCAGACCGGGCAAGGGACTTTGTTCTTCATCCTGCACTTTTATTTATTTATTTATTGAGATGGAGTTTCCTCTTGTTACCCAGGCTGGAGTGCAATGGCGCGATCTCAGCTCACCGCAACCTCCGTCTCCTGGGTTCAAGCAATTCTCCTGCCTCAGCCTCCCGAGTAGCTGGGACTACAGGCGTGCACCACCATGCCCAGCTAATTTTTGTATTTTTAGTAGAGACAGGATTTCACCATGTTGACCAGGATGGTCTCGATCTCTTGACCTCGTGATCCACCCGTCTCGGCCTCCCAAAGTGCTGGGATTACAGGCTTGAGCCACTGTGTCTGGCCCATCCTGCACTTTTAATAAAATCATAGGGGTTTCGGGTTTGCAATAGCAAAAGAAAACATTAACAATTTTGGGGAATTTTCTTGATTTTTTTTCCCCCAAGAGAATTCATGGAAAGGTATTGAAGTTGATGAGTACCACTTTCTTAACTGACGTGGGCCGCAGATCAAAGGTGGGCAAAGGCGGCGAGTGGTGTGGTTTTGGATCAGCTCTCTTGGGGCCGAGCTGCCCTGGTGAAAGGTTCTGGCTTGGGTGACTCTTCTGTCTCTGCCCTGTGAGATGGAGGATGGGGCTGGGGGATTTGGGGCCGTAGTAAGCAGGAGCCCTGCCCAGGTCCTGCCCTCCTCCGCTGGGGCAGTGCCTACTCCTGCTGTGCTGGCTTGGGATCAGGAGCCCCTCTGTCCTTGGCAGGCCCTGGGTGGCTCCTGTGCTGAGGCGGACAGAGCAGGGGTTTGAGAGATGGGAGCCAGTCGGCCCCCGAAGTGTGGAGAGGCTTCGGGATCCTGAGAGTGTCAGCTGCTCCCCAGAGCCACCCCTGGCCCCACGTGGAGGGAAGGGAGGCCTCTGGCACTGGACTTTGATGCAGTTGCCAGGCTGCATGGGGAGGTTGTGTTTTGGGTAAATTTGTGGAGGTCAACCCCGGGTGACATAGCAAAAGCCAGTGGCTTGCATAGTCAGCTCCGCGCAGGGTGATGGGATGTGGAGTGAAGCGAGCGGTGTTCTGAGATGACTTCGTAAGGGCAGGGTCCTTCAGAGCCCGGCTGTGGGGCTGTAGTGACCTCCAGGGCACTGGCCCCTGGCCTGCGGGACACGGCAGCCTGGACAGCCGTGGAGATGGGGCTGTGGGGCTGACTTGGTGGTGTCATGCCTGCCAGGTCCCACTGGGCCCTCTGCTGCAGGCCGGGGAGGGCGTCAGAGACAAAGCAGGGCGTTGGCTGTGACTGCAGAGGGCCCTGTGGTCCCCACCCGGGCCTGGACCCTCTGGGACAGGTGGGGCCCTGCTCTGTTCCTGCAGTCACTCCAGAGCACGGCTGTGAGGCCACCCGTCGTCCCCTCCCACTGGATGGTGACCCAGGTTTGGGAGATCCGTCCACTGTGTCACCTGAATCTGGAACACTTCCCAGCAGCCCTCACCACCTGAGTCCCTTTCAAGGACAGGCAGGAGGAGGGGGCCTATGACTCTGCTCCCACCGGGGCCCTCACCAGCTCTGAGCCTGGCCTGGGTGTGTGGGAGCCAGGGGATGTGAGGTGAGCTGGCATCTGCGTGTGGAGTCACCGCCCCACCTCTCACCCTCCGACTCCCCCCTTCCCTCGATGAGGCCCCCAGGGCTCCCCTGCCCGTCTCACCTCCTACCCTAGCTCACCTCATCCTTCCCCAAACCTCCAGCTCTCCTGGGCAGGACCTTCCTGGCTGGCTGGTTATGAGGCTGAGCCCCAGGGCGATTCCCCTCGGTGCCCTTGGGGTAGGTGGTCTGGGACCTGGGGTGTCTGGTGGGGTGGGGCCCCTATCGGGCAGTGTGGTCAGTTCTTCTGCAGTGCAGACCTGCTGTGTCCTCTGCGGGTGGGGAGACTGAGGGGGAAGGTTCAGGGCACCCTTGGGTCTCTCGTCTGCCAGGCACAGGGTGGCGTGTGTGTGCTGGGAGTGAGCTCACAGCCCGGCCCCTGGAGCTTGTCCCCAAGGGTGTATTTTCCCTGGGCGTGTCTGTATGTCTCCTGAGATGGCAGACAGGACCCTCACCGGGGGCATCTGGGTCCCTTGGTTGGCCCTGCGGGGTCACCTGCCTGAGGCCGGGGGAATCCTGGGGGGCTGGCCTGCTGCCTTGGTGGATGTGTGGCCCCTGGGGATGGAGAGAAGCTGCTCCTGAAGCCGCAGGCAGTGCTGGTGGGGTGGGGGCTGCTCAGCTGTGTCACCCACAGGGGGCCTGGGTTCGGTCCTGCCTCAGCCGGCCACAGGCAGGTGGTCCCAGGGCCCTCTGGGGGGACCTCAGCGCTATGGGCAGGTAGGTGGGGACTTGGGGGGCTGCAGCACATCACAGCCCCTGGGTCTCTGGAGCCTGTTTTGGGCACCTACCTCAGTGTCAGCCCCTGCAGGATCCTCTGGGTTGGGCTAGGCCATGTCTGGGCAGAGCTGGTAGGAGGGCCCCCAGGGCAGCTCCCTTCCTGCACTGGGGGTCTGGGAGGCCACTCCTCCGTCCCCAGGCTGGGATGCTCCAGATAGGCCCTCCCTGCTCCTAGCCCCCAGCCCTGCAGCCTCAGCCCACCCCCAGCCCACCCCCTCTCCTGGGGCCTTCCCCACTGCAGGGCTTCTGTCCCTGTGGAGGGCTCCTGAGGGGAAGGGTTTGAGGTGAGGTGGAGTGGGGACGTGGGAATGAGAGAGGGATGGCTTCCCCACCCTTCCCCAGGCATCCACCCCTGTATCTTCTCCTGAATACGCCTCCATCCTTTCCCAGGCTCCCTCTGCCCCTTGAGGACCAGCCTCACCCCTGCTCCCTCTGGCTCTACCCAGAGCCTCTGAAAACCCAGGGAGGTGGGTATGGCCTAGCTGGGAGCCTCCCTGGCAGCCTGGGGTGGCAGTCTCTGTGCCACAGCCTCAGGGCCAGCCAGTCCCCTGCAGTCACAGGCCCTGTTCTTGTCCAACCTCTTGTCCCTTGTCATGGGTGCTTAGTCCAGCTGAGAGCCCTGGGCCTCCCTCTGCTGAGAGCTTGTCCGCCCAGGAACTCCCCAGACCCAGACAGTGATGGTGGCTGAGGCGCTGGCCCTCGCCAGGTGGCACTCTCCAGGAGAGGGGCCTGTCCGTCCTCTGCTGCAGCAGGAGCACCTCATTCTCACACTGGCTGCTCCGTGTGCAGCTCAGCCAGTGCCCTGGAGGGAGGAGGGGCAGATGCCAGGGCCATGGGTGACCGCTGGAGGGGCACTGTCGTGTTCCAGCCCTGCAGATGGGATGCTGTCTCCAAAAGTGATAACGCTGTGGCAAACCCAGCCAATCACAAGGAGAAATTCACAAGCCCACCATCCTAGGCAGAGGTCTCTGTAGTACTCTTAGTGGGTGATCCGTCGATTAGACTCAAAAGAAACAAGAAGAGCACGGCGGTTTGATGGTGCTGGCTCCCGAGCTTGAGTGGAGGGACGCCTGCAGAGCGGGGCTCACCCAGCTGGGAAGTCACATTAGTTTCAGGCGCACATGGAGCCTGTGGGAAATGGACTATTAACAGGCCAGAAAGCAAACGCCAGTGCATTTCAAATACTGTTATATGGATCCTATTTTCTGACCACAACTCAATAACAAAAAGCAAACAAAACCTCGTGTGCTTAACAAATTCCAAAAAATATACTGTATGTAACTCATGGGATATAGAAGAAATCAACAGAAATTAGAAGACCCAGAACTGGGTGATAGTGTGTGCGCACGGCATAGCCATGCTTGTGCAGTGGGTCCCAAGTGGTGTGTGGAAGGGGATTTACAGTCCTCAATTTCTGTATTAGGAGAAATGAGTGAAAAATAGCTGGGCACAGTGGCTTGTGCCTGTAATCCTAACACTTTGGGAGGCCAATTGGAGGGAGGATTGCTTGAGCTCAGAAGTTTGGGACCAGCCTGGGCAACATAGCAAGACCCCATCTCTACTAAAAATTAAAAAATTAATTGGGTGTGGTGGCTCATGCCTGTAGTCCCAGCTCCTTAGGAGGCTGAGGTGGGAGGATCGTTTGAGCCCTGGAGGTGGAAGCTGCAGTGAGCCGTGATCACACCACTGCACTCCAGCCTGGATGACAGAGCAAGACCCTTTCTCAAAAAAACAAAACAAAACAAAACCCAGAAATGAATGAAACTGACAACAAAGCCACAGCAGAGAAGATCCACAATTTTTTCTTTGCTAAATAATTGGCAAAAGTCTTTTAGCTCGAGAAAAGGGGAGACGGAGCAAATTTATGCTATGAAGAATGAAGAGAGGCAGAACTAGAGATGCAGCAGAGATTATAAAGATAGAGAGTATGATGAATGACTTAGAGGAAATGGACAAATTCCTGAAAAAAACATTGCCAAAAACTGACTCAAGAAGAAAGAGAACCTGTAAATAGTCCTGTAGCCACTTGCCAGAATGAACAGTTTAAATCTGCCTTCGAAGAAAGCCCCAGCCCCAGATGATTTATTTTTTTCTTTTTGAGTTGGAGTCTTGCTCTGTCACTCAGGCTGGAGTGCAGCGGCGCGATCTCTGCTCACTGCAGCGTCTGCTTCCTGGCTTCAAGCAATTCTCCTGCCTCAGCCTCCTGAGTAGCTGGGACTGCAGGCTTGTGCCACAATGCCCAGCTAGTTTTTTGTGTGTTTTTAGTAGAGACAGGGTTTTCACCATGCTGGCCAGGCTGGTCTTGAACTCCTGACCTTAGGTGATCCACCCGCCTCAGTCTCCCAAAGTGCTGGGATTACAGGAGTGAGCCACTGCGTCCAGCCCCCAGATGATTTTATAGGCAACCCTCCACAGAATGCTTAAGGGAAGAAATTCTGGCCTTTCATAATTCCGTTGAGACAATGGAAAAAAAAAAAGACCGTTTCCAAATTATGGCCAAGGCACGTATGATCATTATGTGAAACCAGACAGAA